CCTCTCGCGATAAATCGATCGACCACGTGGCTAAGCGCGTGTTTTCAACTTGACTCTTCTATGACTGTGCGCATCGTGCGTGTCGCATTGGTCCATGAACACGTAAACCAAAGGTAAATCTTGAACCGACATTCTCGCTTAATCGACGAAGACGATCAGAGAGAAAGAATGAGATACAAAGAGGCAGCGCGAGAGGAAGAGCGGCATCGAGAAATATAGGATACCTAAGGAAGGAAGGAGAGAGAGAGAGAGAAGAGTAATTGAAGAAAGAGAGGGAGGAGAAAGGAAGGAGGGAGAGAGGGAGAATGCTGACTAGCAAGTACGTGGAACACGTTTGCGTTCACTGGCTACGTTGTTCATCGACATCAATAGAGTGATCGTACTTCCGAAAAAAATCTAGCTCAACGACGAAGCGCCACCATTTTGTAATTTGTGGCAAGTACGAGTGTGTGCCTCGTACCCAACGATTGCCAATCGTTTATATGACGGAATTATATGGCAATCAAACATTGACTAATCAGTAGACAATTACGTGCTACGTCGATTTTTTTCGATGCTCATGTTTATTTTCGATGTTTAAAGTAATCGGAAATATTATTGGACTACAATTATTGGCACAAATAATGGATGATCAATTAATTAAAAAATGCATTTAACGTCGCTAATAAATTTAAATTAATTGACTCGGTGACTATTAAATCTGTGACTGTGACTCGATCTTTATGTGTTGAAATAGTGTGATTCTCTGATGAAGTACTTCTCTTCAAATTTGGAAATCAAAAGAAAAAATAGGAATATGAAATGTGTTTTTTACATAGAAAAAATTATGTATTAATAGCTAATTAATAGAAGACTAATTTAACTCTTTGTAGACAGGTATTTTCTTTTGGGATCATTTATTTTTATTTTGTAAATTACTCGATTTTCATGAAACTTGATCTATGAGATGATTTGATAATGCTTCATTCGAATCTGAGATTAAAAATAAATTTAAAATGGATTTATTATGACTGACAATTTTTTAAAAATAATTTAATTATCGTAAAACTCGGTTTTAAGAAAGTTTTAACATTATTAATTGTAAGTAACGTCAAGTTTTTTTTATTTGAAGCTTATCAGTGCTACACAAACAATTAGAATTAAATATAATCGATTTTCAAAGAGGTTCATGCATTTTAGGCGATTTGAGAACCACGCGAGAAACGTTGGATTTTTTTCTTACCCTTACCACCTTTTTTTTTACTAAATTTTACTTACTGAATTCGAAAATTGTAGTTAAAATTAGCCTAGTATCTGGGAAATATTTTTTTTCATATTTTAAACAGAAAAAAGCAACGGTTGATTTTATCACTTTGTTGAATCATATCTACGAGTTTTTCTTTGTTTTTATAAAAATATGTCTCAATATTACCTAAGTCCTCATCGTTTTTTATCAAGGCTTAAGAATCTGAAAGAAGAAGAAAGAATAAATCTTAAGTTACGTATATACACTCAACAGCAAAATTAAAGGATCACCTATTCTGATCGCTAAAAATAGGATAATTTCAAGAGAGTGTAACTTCGTAAAAATCGTAAAGAACGATCGTAAAAGAATGATTAAAAAAGCATTTTAGAACTTAAAGTCTCTACTTTTGAAATTCATAATTCATTAAATGACTTACTGATTCTTCACGAAGCTACACGGATGCAAATAAAGATGCATCAAATCTAAAAATTTTTTGCTAAATTTGCGAAGTTCCATGGAGTGAGATAAAAATCGTATACAAATGTGATTTACAACGTTCGAAAGCGTAATTCTTTACCTTTAATTTGCGCACTGGATTAGCATTGTGTGATTTTTTTTTTGACCGAGTTATTCAATACGAAATTAAAAATAGTTCTTTTTATTTCAATGTTGAGTAACTCGGTGAAAAAAAAAATCGCATAATACTCAACGAGTGCGCAAAGGTAAAGATTCACGCTTTCGAACGCTATATAAGTCGCATTTGTATACGATTTTTATTTTACTCTATGAAATTTCGCAAAGTTCATAAGAATGATCTGTCAAATATCAAAATTTTCTCTAAACTTTGCAAGGTTTCATAATCCGAAATCTCATTAAATTGCACATAAATGTAGTTTACAGTTTTTGAAAGCGTGAATTTTTAGCTTTAATTTGCGCATTCGTTGAGTATTATGCGATTTTTTTTCATCGAGTTACTCATTGAAGTAAAAATGGTCCTTATGTTTCAACATTGAAAACTCGGTGATAAAAAATCGCAAAATCCTCAACGAGTGCGCAAATTAAAGATAAAGATATACACTTTCAAATGCTGTAAATTGCATTTGTGTGCGATTTTTTAATTTATGTCGAAGAACCTTGCAAAATTTGTAACAAAGTGTGTTACATTTTTATTTAGCTCAAAAAGCCTTGTATTATTTGTTTATGTAATCCGATGCACGCGAGTTACTCATTTTGTACATATGAGCTACAGAACTTTTATATCAATGAAATGTTTACGTCAGGTGACAACTGTACAACCCAAAAAAAGTAATTTTGTAAT